AATTATATACTAGGTTTCATTGAAGGTGTTTTGATGCCTGACAAAACAGGCAACAAAGTACATCTTATGTATTTAGCTTTATTAACTAATCTTAGAAGAACAAGATGATATAGTTGGAGTTCTGCTTGTTTAACTATGTTATACAGGAAAATGTGCAGAGCCATGGAAGTTAGTAGCAAAACAATGGGTAGTTGCTCATCACTGTTAATGTCTTGGGCATGGTATCGCATGCCATATATTGCGCCAATTTCTAGTAATCCACCAACATACCCTCTCGTGTGCAGATGGAGTGGGGGTAGAGTAGTAAACTTTCGAAATAAACCTCACAATGATGTTGTGGGGTACAAATCAATGTTTGATCACATTCAAGCTAATCAGGTAACTCGTCATATTTATTTTCCTATCTTTTACACATCGTTTTAAGTAACAAACTTAAATATATTTGTAGTTTTTATGGGCGCCATATCAAGACTTGCAGACATCAATACCCATGGAAGCATATAGAGATGTCCAACTGTGGATTTCATGTACTGCCATCCTTTGTTTTGCAATTGTTGAATGACACCAAACAGATAGAGTCAAATTACAGTTTCGTCTAATCCAAGAAGTCCCTTCTCCACCGAATAATTTGAATGACCTCCACAAAATTGATATGAGATGAAGATAGGATGAAAATTAGGTTACAAAACATGCTCAATGGATTGAAATATGGAATAACAGACGTGAGCTGACAATAACAGGTCATCCAATTTAAGGCCCATTGTGTCACACACAAGAATATATGGAATGGTACATTGCTAATTCTATCTATTTTCTATCTGTGCTACAACTACTACAAGTAGGGATGGAAACAGGCCAGGCCGCTTGACAGAGGCCTGTGGCCTGGCCTGGTTTTGGCCTGACCTGACTTGACCTTTTTAATAAACAAACCAGGCTCAGGCCTTTTTTAAGGCCTGTTTAAGTAAACAAGCCAGGCCTGAGCTGTTTATAAAACCTGTTAAGTCTGACAGGCCGGCCTGTATAAATATATATATATATATATATATATATATATATATTATAATTTAAAAATAAAGCTATCAAAATATATTTAAATAATAAAGTTATTTCATAATATATTTTTATATTCTTAATTCTGTTATTATTAAATTAATATATTATGTTATAATTTTATTTATTTATAATTATAATAAACAGAAATTATATTATATTAAAAATTAAAAATATTTATACATGATTACACTTTTTAAATAATAAAATTATTTAATAATAAATTATTATATTTAAACAATTTAAAAAATAGTTAAGTCTTTGAACAGGAATAAGACGTAATCAAAACTAAACGAAATAAAATTTAAAAATAAAATAATAAAATTATATTAATATATTTTTTATACTCTTAATTTTATTATTATTAATTTAATTATTATATTAATATATTATGTTATAATTCTTTTTATTTATAATAAATAGAGATTGCTTAAATCTGAATTATATTTTATTTGAAAGTAAAAATTTATAAAAAAATAATAACAAAATAAAATAAAAAATTTATTATAATATATATATATATATATATATATATATATAATCAGACCATGTAACAAATAATATAAATAATATAATTATAAATAAAATATATAATAATATATATTTTTATAACTTGCACATGTTTTAATTAAATTATTAGTCAATTTATCAATTTATATGTAATTTATAAGTATATGTTTTAATTTATTATATCAGTAATATTTTCTATATTACATTAATATTATAGTGTAGTTAATTTTATATTTATTTGTTAATTTAAAATAACAAATTAATGAGACAAATAAAATTAAATATTTTGTAATTATTTTTTAATTTAATAGTTATTATTGTTTTCATTTTATATATATAGTACATTAAGTTTAAATTTTTATATTAAGTTTTATCACATATTTTTTAATTAAGATAAAAATTTAGAAATATAAGTTATTTTAATTTAAATATAAATTTTAATAATTCTTCCTATGCTTATATGTTATTTTTTTTTATCTATGAATTTTATAATTTAAGTATTTATCATCTACAATTTTTATAATAATGATATTTATTTACTTTTTAAAATATAATAATATTTTTAACTAATTCAATAAATTTTTTAAGTGTTATTTTTTGTAATTATTTTTTTAATTTAACAATTATTATTATTGTCATTATATATATATATATATATATATATATTGCAGTAAGTTTAAATTTATTTTTTTAAAACATATAATTTTCTTTTAATTGATTCAACAAACTGTGTTAATGTTATTTTTTTTTATCAATTTTATGTATTTACTATAACTTTATTTGTTAAATATAAGATGTCTTGAAATAAACAAAATATGTTTCTAAAATAAAACTAAAATATTTACTATTTATATAATTTTAAAAAATAAATAAAAAAATATAAATATAGATTTTATTAATATAAAATATTTATAATTAATACTTAAATAATATTTTAAAAATTATTTATAAAATTATATAAACATTATTATAATTATTTAATAATTATTAAGAACATAGATAGAAATTAGAAAAATGTATAAACTAATTTAATAATAAAATATTTATATTTTTATTAATATTAATTTTTTTTAACAGGCTTTGTTAACAGACTTCAGGCCAGGCCAAGCCTAAAATAAAGCCTTTAACAGGTAACAGGTCAGGCTCAAGCCTAATAATTATGTTACAGGTCAGGCCTGTTTAGAGTAAAGTCTGCCCTGACCTGACCTGTTTCCATCCCTAACTCCAAGATCCAAGGACGAGCGACCAACAACAAAGAACTACCAACACATTTGAAATGGGTACGACTTCCACACTGTCGTACCACGAGGCTGCATCAATTCCTCTGAACATTACGCCAGAAGCAAACATAATTAACACAAGACATTCGTTTACAATAACATCAGAGAATTTTTTTACAAACTTACATGCAGTCTCTTTACCAACTGAATTTTGCTAATGAACCTGGTAATTCATCAAATGCATTTCAACAACTAGACCTTCATGATGATTCAAATCCTCCACAAGTTCATCTTGAAATCCCAGAGCAACAACCACAACGACGAAACCCACCACGTCACAGACGTCGCCCTCATTGTGGAACTGGCTACCATTACGGAGATAGTTAATTATTAATGTTGTTATGAATTTGTTATCATCTTTATTAATGTATTTTGTCTTCATCAATATTACTTTAATAATATAAAAACGTTAATTTTAAAATATTTGTCTCAACTATAAATAATTAAATTATAATTTAATATTTTATTTACTTTTTAAAAATAAATTTTTTATTTTCAAATAAAACTTATTCAAAATTATAATAGTATAATTTTAGAGTTTAGGATATTAAAAATTATAATATTAAATAATAACATTTTTAAACAAATAATTTAATTAAAATAAAATTTTTATTCAAAATATCATTTTATCATACTAATATTTAAAAATATTAAGTCAAAATTACATATTTAAATAAATAAATAAACAGAATAATATTTAATATATTTTTTTAATTTTGAAAAATATATTTAGTATTCTTTAAGTAGAAATTATTTAAACATTAACATTATTATGTAAAATAATATACTTATTATTTAAATATTTTAAATAGTTTTTAAAAATTAACTAAAATAATTTACTTATTATTTAATTATTTTTTAAAAATTTAGTTATTATTGTTTTCTAAAAATATTATTTATTATCTTAAATATGTCAAATAAATTTTAATAAACATTTAAAATTAATATTATTACTATTTTTATTTATTTTTAAATAATATAACAATAAAAACAAAATTCAAATAATAAAATTTATTTTAATATATATACTTAATAAAATATTTATTAAAATAATATATTATAAATATTTATTTTAATAAAATAATAATATATAAATATAATTTAAATAATAATATTTATTTATTATAAAAAAAAATGAAAATCTAACTCAGAATTCGGTTCTCAGGGACCGAATTCTGAATTGCAACAAAAATAAGTCCTTTTGTATAATAAAATTGACAATAGGTCTATATGAGGAATTTTTTTTTTTTGGTCATTTTACGGTAAAAAACTCCCCAAGAGGATGGTAGTTTAATTTTTTATTAACTCAAATTTTCGAAGTTCTCATTGCTGATTTAGTTTTCATGAAGTAGAACAACTCCATGTTCCTCTTCCATTTCTCAGGTACAGGATTTATATTGCCTTAAGAGTTTTTACTGTGATTGATTTTAATATATTTTTTTGAAAGCGATGGGTCAAACTTAAATATTAAAACATACAATTAAAAATTGATAAAATATAATAACTTGTTCAATTTAATTACGTGACTGAATCTTGTATGATAATCCAATTTAACATCATTTTACTTTGAATCTGAACCAGACTAAAATTTGAATTCGATGAGTGGTGCACATCGTTTGCACAAGTGGTTAACTTCCCTATTTAGCTTCACAGATTAAAGAGATTTAAGTTCGATAAACTTCGTGCACAAAGTTTATATGCATTATCATTGAATAAGGTACTACAAAATCATTAATGATCATAATATATCGCATAATATTTAAACTCAATTTAGAAGTGCCTAGTACCTGCTAGTTTTAGAAACATCCAAAGCCACATTATTATCCTATACTATTAGGAGGGACATGGGGAAGCTGTAAACCATTCATTCTCCAAATTGGCTAAAAAAATAATTATCAATTTTCAAATGACATTCAAAACAAGACTCAGTGCTTGTTTGAACTGATCCATGCATTGGAGGTAGTGCACAATACATCATGATCATCCATTTATAAATTCAAAATCAATTACCAGAACTGCCAATGTTAAACCAAACATAGATTCAAAAGATTGAGTCATTATCAAATTAGCAACCCAGTTGAAACTGGAAACCAACATGCAATGTCCTGTATTAAGAATGTATGGAGAAAAAAAAAATCAAATAATAGCCTGTCCTAGGCTTTATTCTATTCGAACTATCTCATGGTTCATGTATCTCAACCGGCAAATCTCATCAAAAAACTCATCAGCACTGCTATGAGAGCTCTTCATCTGAAGAATCTTGATAGCCATGGTCCTAAGATTTTTCCCATACATCAATAAGGATTCAAGAGTACTCATCTTTTGTTCAGCATTTAGAGGTGATCTCACTGTGATCACAACCTCCTCCAAACATGGAATCACAAATCCTGGATCCACCTGTGAAATGAACATCTTCATTAAAACAAGATGTTAATAACACTCATAATCGGATTTATAATATAAAAATTATGATGAATTTACATGTTTGAGACTGTTCCTCTGGCAAAGTGCGGCAAACATGGCTCCATGGATGTCAAACTTGTGAAGCTTAGGATGACTATTGAAAAAATCAACAAAATCAATCTCTGGAAAGGGTTGAAGAGCCTCATAGTCCCCAGTGAATTCAACCTTCATATAAAGATGCTTCACCTCGCTTGCCAATTTCAGCATTTTGCATATTGCATCCCAACACCACTGGACCCCCCTCATAGACAGGAACTCCAGAGCTGGGAGGTTTCCAAAATCAATCATGTACACTCTCCCTGGAAGCAATTAACATGAAAGGAAAGAAAATTAAGCTCTCTAAACCAATAGTAAGACAATTACTTCATAGTTTACTTGGGAACAAAATAAAAAAGGCTAATAAAATATATGCAAGCGTAAGAATGATCTTAAAATTAAATTACCAGCACTATTAGATATTGCAAGATTTCTCAAGTTCTTGGTTTCAGGGACCCTAATCCAACTACAGCCTTGTACCTCAAGGGATTCAATTTTGGGCGAGGTTAGCGAAAGCGAACAGTTCCCCAGACCATAAAAATCCAGCTTACACTGCTCTAAACAAGGCAGGTCGATTGAGATTGATCTAACACCTTCACATCCAAGCAGTAGCAACCTTGTCAGATATGGACATGATCGAAGCACCACAGTCAATACAGGATCCTCCAATCTTGCACCAGTTATTTCAAGTGTCCTAAGATTTTGGAAAACATCCCATTTTGGAGGATGTTTCATTAAGACACCCCACAGTTTTAGACATTCCAAATTCCTAGCGGCACCAATACAATCCAATTTTGATGGGCTTTCATAGGAGGCCTGATTGTCAGCAATGTTGTCCATTCGAAGCTCAAGCAGAGAAAGGGATAGACCTACAAGTGATAGCCATGAAGCAAGGCCAGATGCAGAAAAGGGGCTGTATACAACTAGCTCTTCTAACTGCACAACTGTTGATAACATTCTTTTCACAATATTGTCAGGACTTTCACCACCAGAAGGGCTATCAAATGAGTTGCGAGGGAAGTAGAGACTTCTGACATAAGGCATTGAGTCCTTCCATCGTTTAGAAACACAATTGCAAGCTGCCACATCGCGAGCATTATTGATATGGGACAAGATGTATTGGACTATGGCATCAGGGAGAGATTCCATTGCTGAGGACAACAATCAAAATAGATAAGTGTTAGCATGTAGCCAGATTCAATAAAATCTTTCCAATTGAGCAATGTGAATGAAAGTTCAATTGGAAATCACTCCCATCAGGCAAAATTGGTGATATCAAGAACAAGTATTCATTTTAATTTCACAATCCAATTGAAGCATTTCCTTCCTTAGAGCTATCTTTATTATCACAACCCCTTCGTGTTAACTCCTATTTCTTTCAAGTACCCTGTGAAAACTTCCCCCTTTGACTTGAAAACAATTAGATAAGTTGAAAAATAAAAATAAAGCAATTGCTAATTAAACGTACAGGTGTCGTTAAGTAGAGGCCAAGCCAATTTTCTGCAAAGGAAACTAAAAACTTCACTTGGCATTCATAGCAACTAAATGGAGCACATACTATAAGCAATTATGTGCCCAAAGAAACAAATCATATTCAAAACCCAGATGCGAAAAGGTGGAAAATTTTGCAGCAATAATTAGAGGAACCCAGATGAGGTTTAAGCATTGTATAAAAAATTCAGACAGAAATAAAAGCAAATCTTGAAAAATTAGATGGAAATTTTCATTTAGAAAAACAAAAAAATAAATGAAAATGTGTGTCTTTTTTTCTTGAATCCAGCAAGTTAGAAGCAAAAGGGGCCACAGAAACAGCTTACACATAATGAAATCTGAAAAGAATGAAGATCTGGGGTTGGAGGCTTCGTTGCCCTTTTGCTCTATGCAGAGAGAGAGAGAGAGAGAGAAGACTTGAGGGTTTTTGAGTGGTGAATTTATGGAAATTTTGTAATGTTCTATTAAAAAATTGGAAAGAGGGTGGAATGGAAAATTAGCGCGGTTTTCTTTTTGGCATTTCAAATTTTTTGACCGTTCAAACACATTTCATGACACTATTGTGTGTGTATAAATACTTATGCAGCTCCCTCACCTATTTTCTGGATACCCACATGATTTGTCGTTTAATGATATATTTAAACAGTGTCTTATTACATGTGCTTGTCTGAAACATGTTTAAAATTTTGAATATGAATTTAACTCATTAATTATAATTAATAACGTTTAGATAATTATGAATTCAAACGTGTAATAAATAAAAGATGAAAAAAAAAACTTGTGTCTTTACTTAAAAGATAAAAGTAATGCATACGAGTAATATGACATAACAGGAGAGAGATAAAAAATGTTAAGCAAGTGGTAATATTATTTGAATGTTAATAAATTAGAGTTACATAAAAAAAAATACTTAATTCATTTTTACGGTTTTAGAATAATAACTTTTCAATTTTAAGATTTTATAAAATATGAGGTTTTTGACATGACTTTGCCATACTTCACCCTGTATATAACTAGGAGTGATCGCCGGTCAGTTTTGGGTGGTTCGGTCTAAAATTAACTAATTATATTTAACTGAATTGTTTAGCAAAATATTCAATTTTATCTAATTTTTCATCGTATAGCTTGGATTTGGGTCCATTGAGTAACTCAATTAATCGGGTGGTTAATTCGATTAAGCCTTATGCTGGAAAGAAAGAAATTGTGGTCCATGGTAACCAAAAAGAGAGGCAGAGAAGAGAAAAAATTTAAAACCCTAGCAAAGCTCAAAGATAACAAACAAAGGATCGGCGTCGCACAGACTAAAGAAATGAAAGAAAGATATGTTGCAGTATTAATTAAAACCTAATGACCTAATAACGGAACTGGGCCTGACCCAAATTAAATATTCATATCACATGCATATTTAGTAAATTAAACATTCACGGATTCAGAAAATGAGGGAAAGATATGTTGCAGTATCAATTAAAACCTAATGACCCAATAACGGAACTGAACCTGTCCCAAATTAAATATTCATATTACATGCATATTTGATAAATTAAACTTTCACGGATTCACATATATATATTCGGTCAGTTTTAAGTATCGATAATTTTATAATTTTATATTCGCCACTGACCTTATTTAACCATTTTAATTCAAAAAAAATATTATACTTATCCAAAACTCGTTACTATTCGATTTTGCTTGGATAGGTTGCTAGGATTCATACGGAGCGAAACAGATTGTTCGGATCTGCACAGTCCTTTATATAGCAGTATAATAGTATTTTTTTCTACTATCTTGAATGACAATAAAAGATGATTTTTTTTTCAAAAAATTTGGTCCACAAATAAAAATTGTTTATATATATATATATATATATATATATATATATATATTCATCGTGCAATCAAAGATTCAAAGTTTAATTTTTGTTATAATGAGAGAGGATTTAAAATCCCTCGATGATGTTGCAAACAAAGAAAAAATTTAAAACTTAATTCAACGATTGATTAACTCATAAAATCCATGTTTAACCACAATTTAAAAAAAAAATGTTAATACAATTGGTTGACCACAACAATTTCACCTTCAAGGGTAAGTTATCCAAGTGCAATAAAAAATGTTAGAATATTGATTTTTTTAAAAATGTTTTACTTTATTTATTGTTAATTTAAATCTGTGATCCTTATTTATATAACTGTTAAAAATAATTGCAATTATCAATATCACTCTAAGAAAAGTTAACTATTTTTTAAAATAACGATGGTTTAATAATGGAGGAGAATTGTAAAAAAAATCACAATATGACTCTATAAATTGATAAACATTACCGAAATAAGTAACACGCATCAATAACACCGTGTTGTACATTTTATTTTTGCAGCACATATTTAATATATAGTAAAATTATCATTTTAATAATTATTTTTAAAAGATAACTTTTTTAAAACTATGTTATTATGCTAAGCACTAAAAAGGCTCCAATTTGATTGTGCATAAAAATAAGCAAAAGTAAAATTACGATAAGGCCCATGTAATTTTTTTTTTACCTTGAGGGAACTAGGAATGGCAATAGATCCCATTCCCACCAAAAATACTTAGAATGGGTAGAGTGTTTAACCCATTTAAAATGTTTGAGTTCAAGTATAGAAAATAACCACAAAATTTTATGGATATGAGTAATACCCATATCTATTTATCTGCGCTAATATTATGTTACAACTTGACATTTTATTTAACTTTGAAGGAATAATTTTGTATGTAATTTTATTCATTATTTAATGTATTTTTAAAGAATGTTCTTTATTTGATAATGATACTTATATTTTATTAGTATATTAAAATTTTTTAGAAAGTTCATGTTGTAATTGACAAATTGTGAATAACTATGTGGGTATGGGAATTTTGATACTTAATGAGTATAGAGATCAAAATTGTTACCTACTGTATGGGAACAGATTCAAGTGATTATTTAAAATAGGAATATGAAACGTAGTATAAATATTGATAACCACCTTTTTTGAATTAGAATTTTCCACATAATACAAACTTCCAAGTGGGAAAAGAAAATAAAACTCATGAAAGAGCATAAGATAATATCTATAATGTTTCAGTTTATCTTTTTGTACAGAAAGAACAATACCAAAATGCTTCAAGTAAGCTTGAATAGCCGGAGAGTGCTATATGTTCCAACATGTGGTTTCAGGAAGCTATGACAGTACTGCAATGCTGACATTGTCATCACACAGGAACCCGGTAAGATGGATCAACCATTTTCAAGATGAACAAGTTTCCTTTATCACCTCTTGATACCCTGTCAAATTATACAGAAAGTATCACATCGAGTATTTGGTGTCTATATAGCAGGTGGAAGGAAAACAATTACAATGGAGATAAGGTCCAATGGCTTCATAAACATCTTTCTCCAAAAAGAATAAACATGAATCAGACTAAAATACTGAACTTGTTTTATCTCTACATGTAATCTGGTAACTCACCTCAGTTCTTCATCTAAATATGTAGTTTCCAGTTCCCCACGAGCTCTGCCAGGTGCTTTAATAGGTATCTGCACAGGTACGTAGGATATGATGGAATAGATCATGCTACAAGCTATTACACAAGTAGTTCAGAAGCATACATACACATGACTTATTAGGTACTTAATCCATACAAAATTGCAGATGTAGGATGATACTTATGACAAATATAATGCATATGGACTTTGTTGGATAAGTAGCATTTGCAAAGAAACCTCTACAGAATTTCATTTTTCCAGTCATAGCCTAAAGGTTCTTAAGTCAATATCATCTAGCACACTACAAAATATATATTTGATGATAAGTATTTATATTCTGAATACTTACGAAGCCTCCAATTTTGAAAGTATCGAATTTTACAGCCACTTTCTTGGGATTTAGAGGTGTTAAATCAGCTGTCACCTACACAATATTGATTTTGTTTATATATGCAAATGTCAGATTGAGAATGCATAAATGGTGAAAACTTATCTCAATTTCACTAAGTGTCACCTGGTTGAAGAATGGCCAAGATTCCATATTTTGGGCCCTTAGAGTATCGATGTTGATTGCTTGATAATTTGTAACTGATCTCAGCCACTTTGGTCTCTGTCATTACTCATTACATTATTGAAATAGTTAGCAAGCAAAAATGGTAGATGGCAAGGGGGAGAGGAAAAAAAAGGGGGAAAGAGAGACCCCTCTGACTTCCTTCATTAAGAGTATAAATACAATATTTAGTGAAGCTAGTTTTGATACTGATGCTAGATCCCTAGTTAAATGACTGAATACATGTATTAGATATTGGTTCTATTATGTTTTCCTTTTGTGCAAATATTTGCTTGTAAAATGCTGAAATGGCATAATTGATCAGTGATGTAAACTTCAAGCAGCAGTACATCATGATTTTATGATCTAAACTCCAGTTTCTAGACACAAAGTAAGAGATCCAAGTAGCACTGTTACTGAAGCAATAATGGAACTTATTGAAAATTCTACCTTGAGCTTAACCATGTATCTAAACTAACAGTTAATGAGTTTCTATCAGTTTTTTTGTTAGTAAGAAAAGGGTACTAAGGGGATGATACCCTCAATCCTATCAAACAGGGGGAGATCAATTACTGCATGGGGATTATTGCATAGGTTTACATGTAAATAGTTTTATCTAATCGCATTTAAACAACTAACTTGTTTATATATGGTGTGAATGTTGAGCCTTAAAGGAACAACACGAGAAGAAAATGGAAGTGACAAAAATAAGAATGTTAAGATGAATGAGTGATTGCATGAGAAACAATAGGATTAGAAATGATAGCATATGTGAAAATATTGGAGTAATACCTATAGTGAAAAAAATAAATGCAAATCGTTTTAAGTAATTCAATCATGTGCAAAGAAGACCTCCATAGGCACTAGAGAGGGGAGTGGATTGTATGACTTTTAGTCTGGTAAAAAGGGATAAGGGAAGACCCAAAAGAACCTTAGATGAAGTTATTAAAAGAAACATTTTGATTACTAGACTTCTGAAAATTTGGTTTTGACCAAGCTCAATAATTTGATATGATCCATATAGTTAAGCTTACCTGGTGGGATAAGGATCGATCGTTGTTGTATTGTTTTTTTGGTCGTATATTGTTTACTGCGTCCGAATCTATGGATCTCTTTGATGAATATAACATTTATGATATACTATTACGACTCTGCAAGTAAAATATTAAGCCTTTTTGAACTTTATTTCTCGTGTATATATGTAAGTAGTTTATTATATTAATCCAGGGTAAAAGACATTCTACCCTCTTAAATTTATTACTTGGTTGCAATTTCCACCCTCATAAAAATTTGCCTAATTTATGACAATTCATTGTAAGTTTCTCTTTTCATCTGATTTAACAGTTAGTTTTAACGGAATTAATGCACACGCTGTGAACACAGATTGAAGAAAACATTCTGCAATGCTTGCAAGTTGCAAACATTAGATGCATCCTAATATCAAACATATCTCAGATGATTTATCACCAGAATATAGATATAAACATGAACTAGGGTAAGGGAAAAAAAATTATTTACCTTGGTTTGCAAGATTGACTGAGAGGTAGTGTATATAAGCTCCCATTTTCCGTCAAGTAGGTTAGATTTTAGGGGCTCCTTTATTGGACTAACTGCTTCAAGTTGGCGTGCAATCTATTTAGGAATAAATTCCAGGAATCAAGAATAAAGATGCAAGTGAAGAAAGGATGTATGATGATTGGTGCATCGCATGCATGCATGGTACTATAAAGTTGTGGAGTGAAGGCAAAGAAAACCTGATCAACTGTTTGCTGATCTTGAGGTGTGGCACCAGCCCCTCGATCAAGCGGTGCAATGGCCTCAAGTAGTTCTTCTTTGATAGTCTTAGCATCTTTGCCTTTCTTCAAAAAGGAAGGAAAGAATGAAACTTTTGTTCTCCATTTGCTCTGAGAGATAGAAAGGGAATGGTTGGAATTGGAGGGTCTGATTGGAAAGTGAGAAGAAGAAGAAGAAGAGAAATTGGACACTTTGGGAACTGAACATGTGGTGTTACTGTTGAGAGCTGAAAACAGAGAGGGAGAGGATAAGGCCATGGGTTAAGGTTAAGGCTTTCCTTGGCCACACTCATTTTGCTTTTTGCTTCCCCTGTTAAAAAATGTCTTCTTTTGACTTGTGGGTCCTCCAGAAATGGAGAGAAAAACAACGCTAACGTCCAAAGTTTTGGTTTTTAAGGCCCCCTTAGCCGCACTAATTACTACTAAATACAAATAATTAAGTAGACAGTGTAAAAATATACATTACTCTAGTGTAATTGCTAAAAAGTTAATTTTCCTTGTGAAGTAATTTTTTGTTTTTAAGTAAAAGTAAAACAAGTAGTGAAATTTTAAACTGAAGAAATAAATGGTTTTGAGTAGTAAGGTTATAGCACGTGCAATGCCACCATAAGCTGAGCGGTGACTCGGTGGTTCTGAGTGTCACGAACAAAACCAGCCAGAAGTGCAAAAGTGTATCTATCTGATCATCTCTATCTCTCTCTTTTTCAGTTCTCTCTTGATTGCTATGAGCTCCAAGCTTGAATTTTTAGTATCCAACAAAAGGTATTAATATTATTAGAAGAATGGTGCCAAAGTTTCCCTTGACCCAGTTGAGGACATCGCCTGCCACGCCCACCTATGCCTATGCCTATGTGATTTCTTCCCACAGAGATTTTCCTGCATACAAGTTTTCTACAAGAATTTTCTCAGAGCAAAAGTTTCCCTTCAAGTTCCTGCCACAGTCATTAGGGGACAAATGGAAGCTGAATGACTTAAGTGGTAGTATGTCATCATTGCTTTTTCATTTCAGCTTTATGTTGCGAGTGGCAGCTTATTTTTTTTACCTAACTATCTATTTCTTGTTTTAGTTAGATTATTATATGTGCGATTCTGTTGTTTGTATATTTCTGATAGTGTTCAAGGTCGACTTCTATATTTCCCTTGTTTATGCCCATATTATTGAAGCTAACCATTAATTAAACAAGCATGCCACACCTATTCAGTAGTTTATGCACTTGAGTTGTTTGCTCTTTGCATGTGATTATACTTGGTACTGTAAATTATAGTAAAATTCTAAATCCTCCTAATCACCTAGCATTTAATTATTTGATACTCTTGTTTAAGTGATTAGGAAGAGGTTAAGGGAAAATTAACATTTTTTTTAATTATAGTGTTTTTTTCTTTTCTGTATCTCATTCTGGCAATTTTTTTTAATGTTTTGGTTTTCATTTCTGTTTCAAAGGTTCTATCCAAGAAAGATTCAATGTCTTGAAGTCGAGGACCCAAAATTTTTTGAATGAAGTGACTTTTCCACTTGCAAAACCTGGTCTAAGTAGGAAGCCTGATCCTGAAAATGATTTTGGATTTCAAGTTTTGGAAGACATATTTATGGTAGAGCTAACAATTGACCGCAGAACGCCGTATGGGATTCTTTCTCTAGCTGCTGTTATTTGTATTGAACAATTCAGCAGGTGAATACACTAGAATCATTCTATTTTGGTTGAAAGTTTTCTATAATGGTCCTTGGGCCAATGCATTCATCAAATGGATTATATATTTTAGTATATTATTGAAATGCCATATGATATTAAAAACCTTTGCACTTGGAATGCACAGTAGAATGATTTACTCCCAAAATTACGGGAAAAAACAATGTAATAAGAGAAGACACTAAATAATGTATATTTTCTACTCTTCCTTTTCTTCTTTTGCCTTAATGTTTTTCTATTGATTCTGACAATTTCACAAGTTTCTTTTCTTAAATTGTTTTCTTCAATCCAAAAATATGTGTGGTTGCTGCTAGCTTGAGTTGATTTGTGACAGAGATACGCAAGAATATAATTTTCAATATATCATTTTTATTATAAGTGTGGGTAGGCAGCTTTACTGTTAGGACAAACATTACAACAACAAAGTCTTATCTTACTTTATGAGGTTAGCTGCATGAATAAAACAGCATCACTTGGTTTGGTCAAAAATCCAAATTTTAGAAATATTATTTACCATTAGATTCTTTTTTGATAATTTCCTTCAAGGTTCTTGTTGGTCTCTCTACTCTTTTTCACAAGGCCAAAAATCATACAGTCAACTCTCCTTATCCTGTGTCTTTAGCGGTCTTTCACGCACATATATTTAAACTACCTTAACCAATTTTTTGTCATTTTCTCCTCAATAAATTACATTACTTTTTTCCATTTTTGTTACATAGGAGGTCCTAACTCCCAATGGTCTTAGAAAGGGGAGGGATTGGACCCACAACATTAAGCAACCCTCCACCACAACCCATTCCAAGAGTTAAAGGCCACTTGCCATTTGTGCTATCAAGTAGTGGGCATGTGTTGCTTTGTTAATGTCACGGAAAATTGAATCCTGGGAAACACCCTTAATGAGGATCTTGTATTTTCTTATTGCTTGCTTGCTTAATGCCTATCAGACCGATACAGAAATTATTATTTGACTTCTTGAAAATAAGATATGCAGGATGAATGGATTGACTGGGAGGAAAATGCAGAAAATTTTTGAAGCACTTGTGCCTGAATCTGTATATAGTGATGCCCGTAATTTGATTGAATATTGCTACTTTAGATATTTGTCAAGGGATGGTTCTGACATTCATCCTTCCCTCCAGGTATAGAATATTGTTATTTGGATGATATGTTAGAAAAAATGTTCTGATGTTCGTTTTCTGTTTTGTTATATCTAAGTTAATCTTGGTCTCATCAAACATGCATTTGGTATTACTTTTTTCAATACCACTTCTCCTTCCCCTCCCTTTTTGCTTCCTTCCTGCTCTAGTCTCTTGCAGCAGTTTGAGGATTACTAGCATGAAAAAGCTGGTCAAGTTTTTCAACAAATGTCAGCATATCGTTGAAGGTGGTCCAAGCTGATTGGATGTCTACCTCAAGAATACCTTGTCTCACGAGTGAAGAATTGTGCAACTTCCCTTGAAAAGAAGGAAACATGCACATACTACGGCAAAATCTTCTGAAAATTTGTTGGCAAATATGAATAGCCAAAAAGCAGCTGTGGCAGATGGAGCCTAACTTACTGGATTTCTTTGCTTTACTTGTCCATTTAGTTGTCAAATACTGTAAAATTCAATAAATAAAATTTATTCTTTTATCCCAAAAAAGAAATGCAATGCTCATTGTTTTGGACATGTTGTCTATAGGACCCTGCATTCCAGAGGCTGATATTCATAACCATGCTGGCTTGGGAAAATCCTTACACTGATAAACTTTCCAGCAATGCAGAGAAGGCTTCTTTACAGGTTCACCACTTTCCTTTATTTAATGTACTTCAGTCTCTTTATGAGCATTGAATTGATTGTTGATTTCATTTGGAGATATGACAGGAGAGAGAGCATTTTTCTTAGCTCAAGTTTGTCTGTTGAATCGTAACATAAGGTTTGAACTTTTAAGGATAGTAGACATGGCTAACTGGAAAGTAGTTCACTTCTAAATTTAAAAGCGTCCTCCTTGTTTCACCCAAAAACTAGAGTCCTCCCTCTTGTCAATGATAATCTAGGAAAAGTTATTACATCTCATGAATTCAATTAGTGATGAAGGTGGGAGATATATTGGTGAAAGGATTTCCAGTTATTCTGTCATCACAACTATATTATTTCATTTGGTTCTTTCCTTTTTATGATTTTGAGATCACATCAGATATGTAATTTTTTGTGTGCAGAGTAAACTTGTCACTGAGGAGGCTTTTGTTCGTATTGCTCCTGCAGTCTCTGGTGTAGTTGATCGCCCCACAGTGCACAATCTTTTTAAGGCTCTTGCTGGTGATCAAGAGGGCATATCTGTCAGCTCATGGCTAAATTACATCAACGAATTTTTCAAGTGAGTTTGTATTCATCTTTTTATCGATGTGATGATCTTAGAAGACATCCAACCAACATGTGTTTATGCCAAATCTGACCCCAAGTCGAAGAAATATAACAACCTTTAGTGTTTTGCCAGTTCCAAAAGCTTCTTGTGCTCTGGCAATTCTCACTTTATCTGGTTAGTTAGTAACTTAGTACATGAAAGAATAGACCGGAAGAATTGAATTTCTTTTTGCATGATAACTAGTAAAATTTTTTGGTAAATAGATAATTGTCTGCATTCCATAAAAAAATATATGACGGATGCTTAGTTCTTCCATCTTCTGTTCACTCCTTTCTGTTCATAATGCTACTTCAGACTCCTCTCTAATTTACTAAATGGAAGGTTCATGCAAGCTTTAGCTATTACAGAAATAAATCTGTTACATTAAAAGTTCAATTTTAGTTCTGATGTTTCAATTATATGGTAAAAATCTATGTAGTTCATACACTTTCGATATGGTAAAAATGCCTGAGTTCTGTATGTATTGTAGCTCAAATAGTTGACATAATTTGTTTGTTCTGGTTTTCCTTTTATGGTTTGTTTTATGTCAATTTCATTGCTTTATAGTCCTTGAATGCTCTCAGAACTTCTAAACAGTCTCTGGTATTACAGAATTTTTGTGCTGAACTTGTGCTGATATTACTGTAGAGTGCGTCAAAGACAGATATCATATCAGATTCCAGAGTTTCCTCAACTTTCTGAGGAGCGGATTTTATGCATTGGTTCCAACAGTAAACGACCTGTTCTGAAATGGGAGAATAACATGGCATGGCCAGGGAAACTTACTCTTACCGATAAAGCAATCTACTTTGAGGTATTTTATGATTCTAGGAGATGTTTAGATAATATACTATCTCATAAACTTTGGGCTTTTCCCTATAGCAATATCAAAGACTGTAGATTTCTCCGTACAAAGCACAATTATTGCTCTTTATGATTCATATATCTTGCTTATTGTCAAATATTATGTATTATATATTTTATGATTGAGGTGATGTGAATAAAAGAGTTGGCATGTCTGATTGTTTTCTTGTTTGTTGGTGTTATGAAACATAAGATTGAATTTTCTAATATTCCAAATAATTGCTTGTCATGAGGTCCTCCTTGATTTATCACGTGTTTTTTTTTTTTTTCCCCAAAAAAAGTGAGATTCTCCTTATGCAGAGTCAAAATAATCGAATTCAAGTAGAATGAGTTTCTACTTGTGCATAGTAAGATTTGAATGTTAAAGATTAGGGTTTCAAAGAACTCCATATTCCTGCGAGTTTCAGAGTGGTTTTAGGAACCTAGACATTACCAGTGTGCTCAGTTTCTACAAGGTTGGCTACCAGGTCACTGCCAAGACTCAGGGATTAGAATCAAATGTCAGCAGGCTCTTCAAGTTAGCTAATATAATAAACTAGTGAAGAACGCCTATACTTAAATAATGACTGCATGTTATAGAAGTCAAAGGTTGGCACCATCTCAACCTAGAAGGATTATATTTATTTCATTATGGAATTAAATCACCTAACGACTGCTTAGAGTCTCATACAAACATTGATTCACAAGATCCAGCTGATTGCCACCAGAGATTGGTCCCATGGAACTCTCTTCAACTCAATGAAATAATGTGGGCCAAGGATTTTAACTTCGAGGAGATGCCATTTAGTCATTACCTGTTAGATCATGGTATTGACTGGCTTGCTTGCTTGAGTGTGTAAAATTGAACTGGTGATTGATCATAAATTAAAAGAGTTTCTATACAAAGAACAAATAATCATTATCTTGCTTTATTGACCTTTTCAAATCTATGTTCCAGGCAGTTGGCATATTGGGAGAGAATAGAGCCATGAGATTGGATCTTACATATGATGGATTGAAGGTAGAGAAAGCAAAGGTTGGGCCTTTAGGGTCTGCTCTTTTTGACTCTGCAGTTTCTCTTTCTTCTAACTCACAGTGAGTAAGCTTCTTCAGGCATTTTTTATTAGTTATACTAAGTCTTGGATTTGTGGTTTTTTATTGTAACAAAATTTGATGATCTAGCATGTTTTCTAATATTCTGATTGGAATGTTATAAGGTTTATACTTTATAATTAATAAACAACTGCTTATCATGTATCATCTTGGCATATTAGCTTAGATCAAGAAAAGTAAGATTATGATGCAGGATATTAGAATTCAGAAGTGATTTCTAGTAGTTGACACTGTTAGATTGCTTAGTTGGATTTGTTTGTAATTTTATTTGAGTCAGTTAGTTGATTGTACACATGTAATAAGGATATTCAATGAGTTAGTTAATTCTGTTAAGGAACCACCTGCTGGATATAGCAGGTTTTGTGAGAAGCTTTGGTAAGTTCAAGTTTCTTATTGTGACTCTTGAAATTCTCTTCCCATTCAATAAAGGTTCTCTGTTCGGTATCCATTCCCTTCCTTGGATTCCCTACTCCATTTTGGTTGTTCTTCGAGATTCATTTATCTTCCTAGAAGAACCGCAACAGATTAGGGTTTGTAATTAATTAATTATTAAACTAATTATTCTGAGATCCTTATTTCTAATGCATGGAATTCACTCTAAGTAACTGATAATATATAATATCATTTCATACCTTATTGGTGTTCCATATGGGCTACCTACATATAGTGGTAGGTTCTTGACGGGGAGTTTGTCAATTAACTTAATGGTTTGATTTGCAGATTAATTATAGAGAAAACTTAACTAATATTATCATATAATGAGTTGCTTAAAGCTTAGACAACTGTGTTGACTCAGAAGGAGAATTAACAAACTGAGTTACACAATGATCAAAACCTTCTTCAACTCCTCGAACTAATCTTTATTATAAAAATCTCTCTGGGTAGAAAATATTAAGTCCAATTAAAAATTCTGGATATTCAGATGACAAATAAGTTATTGAGAATATCAAACTCACCTTCCCCTTCTCTTTCCCCTTTTCCCCATAAAAGGAAGGTGTAAAAGGAAATTTAGGATTTTGATGTATGAATAAAATAGCTCATTAGTAAATGTGCACCAGAACCCACAATTTGCCCTCCACTTCTGTCCATAATAATTTCCTACAATTAACATTATCATCTTAAATTGATTTGTTTCTATTTCTACTTATATTCATACATAGGTTAAATCGGTGGGTGCTGGAATTCATTGATTTAGGAGGTGAGATGAGTAGGGATGTTTGGCATGCATTTATAAGTGAAGTCATCGCTTTACACAAGTTCATAAATGAGTACGGACCTGATGATTCTGATGAATCAATATTTAATGTATATGGAGCTCATAAAGGAAAGGATAGAGCAACAACCAGTGCTATTAATGGTATTGCTAGACTCCAAGCCCTTCAATATTTGCGGAAGTTGCTTGATGATCCCTCCAAGCTTGTTCAATTCTCATATTTACAAAATGCACCACATAGCGACATTGTCCTCCAGACATTAGCTGTTAACTATTGGGGAGGTCAACTAATTACAGGATTTGTAAATACCCACAACCAGCCAGAAACTCAACCATCTGATGAAATAGCGGACAGCCGCAACCATGTTTTTGACATAGATGGAAGTGTCTACTTGCAGAAATGGATGAAATCTCCATCTTGGGGATCTAGTACTTCCACTAATTTTTGGAAGAGCACTTCAGTGAAAGGTTTAATCCTAAGTAAGAATCTTGTAGTGGCTGATTTATCACTCACAGAAAGAGCAGCAGAAACAAGCAAGCAAAAGTACCGGGTTGTGGAGAAGACTCAAGCCACCATTGATGCTGCAACTCTAAAAGGCATACCCAGTAACATTGATCTTTTCAAGGTTGTGATGCTTGCCTTGTTTTCTTGTTTCCTTTTTATGATTTTAACTTTTAAGTAACTTGTAGATTATGATTATGGCACCATTCAAATTAGTAATATTTGCTCAATCTGAATCAGTAGTGTAAGCATGCTTTTTGATATTGCGTGCAAGTATTTGTGATTTGGAGTTCCTATTATCTATTCACTAAATACTAGATATAATTCTGTCATGCTTATCAATATTAGTATTTAGGAATTGCTGAAACATATGTGAATATTGGACCATAATTTGTTCATGAAGTATTTCTTTTTTTCCCTCTAAATTTCGGCAGTCAAAAATCAGTTTGGAAAATTTTTCATTCTAGTAGTGGTCTTATTAGCAATGCTACCTTGACTAGGCCTTCAAATTTGATTGTTTCTTTTTGTTGTTTCTTTGAATGGCTCCTTAAAATCATGAAGTCTTAAATAGTGATCTTGATCATGTGCAGGAGCTAATATTTCCTCTTACTTTAGCTGTCAAAAACATTGAAAAGCTTAGGCGCTGGGAGGAGCCACACTTGACTGTTGCATTTCTTGGACTCACCTATACAATAATTTTTAGGTACATCTGCACCTCAATTTTCATAATGATATTGATGGTTGTTGTCTTCCCAGTCTCAAGTCAGCATGATGATCATTTGGTGGCAAGTTTTTTGTTTTCCTGAAAGATAACTGCTTACTATTTATTGGTTATTGATTAACAGAGGTCTGTTTGACATGAATGAATAATATGATTTGTTTTCAAACCTAGTTTTGTGTTTGCTGTTAATTTATTTGTTAACAGATTTTCTCATTCACAGGTTTATTTATCTTTTTCAACTTTTCCAATTGCTAATTTCTAAATTTGGACTTTGGTTTGAACATAACTACTTGATCCATTTACTCTGTCCCGATGTTGCAATAATTCTTAGTTCAGAATATAGTTCATACACTAGACAAAAAGTTGTTAGAACAAAATGGCTGGGTTCTGTTGATGTGGAAAATACTTTAGACCCCATTTCTTCACGCACCTGATTGGAATAACAGTCTATATCTGCAGAAAACTTGAGGACCATATGTGTGATTTTCTTAACAAGCTTTGACACTTGTATTTCTGGCAACTTTTGAGGAACAAGGTCTAAGTAGATACTAAGGTAGTTTTTAGTGACTTGTTTTGAAGTCTTTGTGAGTAGTAAGGAAGGAAAAAAATTTATGAAGATATGCAATGTTTTCAGTGTTATAGATATTAAGGAGGAATGCCAGATTATCATGGAAAATTTATGACTTTCTACTTACAGTAACTGTTTCATCGTGTACATTCTTGTGGTTTAAATAATTCTTTTGGTTTTTGATATATTTCTTCCTTTGAAGCCTGTGCTATGGACAATGTATCTATAGCATATGTTTATTCCTAATTGATGATAAGATCAAGCTAATTGTTTCTGGGCACCTTATCCTTCCATGCTGTTACTTGTTTTTTATGCTGATGTTTTAATTTGCTTTTCCAGAAACTTGCTGTCATATATGTTTCCCATGATGCTGATGATTTTGGCAGTTGGAATGCTAACAATCAGGGGCCTTAAAGAGCAAGGTCGCCTTGGGCGATCTTTTGGTGAAGTTACAATACGCGATCAGCCACCATCCAATACTTTGCAAAAGATTATTGCTGTAAAAGATGCCATGCGTGATGTTGAGAATTCTATGCAGCAAGTGAATGTCTCCCTTCTCAAAATAAGATCTATTTTACTTTCTGGCCATCCACAGGTATGATATTATGGGTAATGCAAAATCTAGTTGTGCCTTGCATTCAAGCATGTTCTTAATTGGAACTCAAATTATTTTCTTTTGTGAGGTTTATTTTTATCTTTACTCCTGTCTTAGTAGATGTAGTTTGATCTGATCCTTTATCAGATAACCACTGAGGTTGCACTACTGCTGCTATGTTCTTCAACCATTCTCCTTGTTATCCCATTCAAGTACATTCTTTCCTTTCTTCTCTTGGATATGTTCACAAGAGAGCTTGAGTTTCGGAGAGAAATGGTTCAGAAGTTCATGAAGTTTCTAAGAGAGCGGTGGCGTACGGTGCCTGCTGCCCCAGTATCAGTTTTGCCATTTGAAAATGAAGAATCCAAATCAGAAATTTACTTAAAAGAAATTGAGGAGAAATCAAAATCACAAGGAAATCAGAGCAATGGAAAGTCCAGATAGTTAGCAATACCATTTTCAGGGTTACTTACAGATAATATAAAGGTGTGAATTTTGTTTCAATTTTTGGTAAAGAAATATAGGAAGCTCGTGTACTAGATTTTCTCTCTTTGCATGTCACATGGAATGCTTGAGTTGGGTAGTTTTCAGTTTAAACTATTCTCTCTGACGTTGAAACTGTTCTCATTGTTAGTTCTCATTGAAGAAAATGTACGATTAATAACAACAGAGAATTTCTAGTGTTTATGCTTGGTTTGGTGAAGGCTTTTAGACATCCTCGAGTCAATTTCTGTTGACCTTAACAGCAGTCAATGAAGCAACAATAATATGGGTGCAGTGTTTGATTCCTGCATTAAAAAGTATATGTTAGCAAGAATAATGATAGTCGAGAAGAACATGAGGATTAATTAAGAGGATGTAGAATTATTCTAACAAGAACATATTGTACATGTCAATGATCTACTCCATTATGAATGTGTGATAATATTGTTCATGAAGAGTAAACTTATCTCAATCCACATGATGTAATAATGAAGCCTGCTCCCAAACATGTTATTATACTTGGTCATCATGTGCAAAAGTTAAAAGTGCTTGGATAGTCTGAGGGTAACATCATAAAAATGAGGTTCAGCAATGGGCTTCCCGGCCGCTGCAGTGTATGCTACTGCCACAACCACATGTTTGACCTGTTGTAGCCCATACCCTTCCACAGAAGCTTGTGTACACTGGCTTGGTCAGGATTCAGTGCATTGCCACTTATTGTCTCCTTGCAGTAATTTACTATACTAAAAAGTTTTGCTGCTTCCACAAGGTTCTGGTGCTGCCTCCCAGCACATCGCATCAAATAAATTACTAAGCATAAAAAAAATAAAGAAAAAATCCCCTTAAGGACAAAGTTTTGTGTTCTCTGCTTATAAAAAAATATAACATTTGTGTTGAGCATAAACAAACCGTCCCTCTTGAGTGCACACCCTATAATGATTAAGGACAAAGCTTTAGAATTGGTGTATGAAACAAAAGATGCGGGACATAAATGCTTTATTTGTTTCCCTAAGGTTGGGCAGAGTTAAAAAGTGAAGAAATCACCGAATGCAATAACAGTTCCCCCTTTTTTGCTCATCCCTATACATTAAATAAATCAAAAACTACCCAAAATTAATATGGTTCTTCCCAAGAAATGTAATCTTATATTTCAAGCTCTTTCCGCAGGAAAATGCTAAGTATCAAAATTGCGGGAATAATAATAGTTATCTTCCGTTCTCATTATATATATAAAAGTCACCAACGATTCCAAGTTGGACTAAAACTGGGTTAACTAACAATCCAGAAGTGCTAGTCGGATACTTTAGAGTAAGTCCGGATTCAAATGGGTCAAAAGTTTGGATTTGTATGAGTTATCTCAGTCGACTTCAGGTGGGTAATATTCTTATCCGAAGATACTCAAACCGACCCAAAGTGTCATGTCTCAGCTTTTAATAAATAAAACTATAGTAGTACATTTTCATTGTAAGATGAAGAATTGACATGGTGATTTAAGATTGAGATTTGCTGGTAATGGATATTTTAGAAGGATGGGAAAGTGTGTTCAAAGCTGAGGGATAGAGATGAAAAGTTAAATGTATGTACACGCCCCACTATGTTATCAAGGTGTTTAATAGCTTGGAGAATTGATTGGGCAATATCAATTGTCATTATTACATAATGCAAAATTCAAGAAAAGGTTATGCCTCCCAATGAAAAATTGCTAAGTCCAATTTGAAATTAATTAAGGAAAGAGAGAGGAAAAAACCTTAAATTTAAGTTACTTTTTATGATTTTATCTTTATTTGTAACTTTGTGTTTTTTAGTTATGCATTGTTTTGATTAACTTTGATTTTCTTCTTTTTTGAGTTGTCATTGTCGTTGTCCTCTATCTCTCCGATGGTTGTCTTCATTATCTTCTCTATCAATCTTTCTCTACGAATGTGTATTTTTCTTTTGTAATTGTGTTTTTTTTTTTTGTGATTATATAATGGTTTCTTCATTCCTTCCACAACAATATCTTCCTCCTTCTTCCTTGCATTGAGAGTAGTCCCTTTTAGTTTTAATTTGCATTTTCTTTGTCATATTTTTCATTTCCTTTCTCTTTTCTCAAAATTTTTTACTTCTAATATTTCTATTAAGGAAATTCTAAGAACAGAAGATACTAAAAGAATTTCAAGAACCCAGAAAAATCATGTAAAGAAGAGTCTGAATTTTATTGATCTGAATGAGAAGAATTATAAGAATTGAATTTGAAATGAATTGACAACTAACTTCTCCTAACTACTTATATATAGCAAGCTATTATTAACAAACTTTAACAACTTGCTACTTCTGGAACTTAACTGACTAATTAACTTCATTCCAGCTTCTTCTATCAATTTCTTACACGTGTTGTAACACCCTGAATTTTTGTAATATTAATTATTGTATTTATATAAATCTAAATGCATATATGTGTGTGTGTTGACTTACTTGATAATGATGTTTATGTGTATTAAGTATATGAATGTGTGTATTGTGTGTATGCATGATTGGATAGGGAAGAAATGGGCTAAGTGCCTAAGTGCATGAAGTAATTCTAGGCCTTCTCGCTGCAGCGAGAGGGCTCTGGGAGGAAGGATCAGAACTGTTGCCTTCTCGCTGTAGCGAGAGACGTCTCGCTGTAGCGATAGAGCAACAATTTGGGGTGCATTTCTGGATGCAGTCTCGCTGTAGCGAGAGGGTCTCGCTATAGCAAGATTCTGCAAAAACTAGAGTGCAGTTTCGTCTGACATTTTCGCTGCAGCGTGAGAATATCTCGCTATAGCGAGAGTGTCGCGACCAGGAAAGAATTTAAAGGGAGTTAGGGTTCAGGAAGGGTTATTTCTCCATCTCCCTTTAAATTTCCTTCGATCATCTCATTCCCAAACCCTTTTCTACCGATTATATTGCCTCCAAAGCCATTCGGAAGCTTGATTGAAGGTTGAATCCGTATGGAGAACGTTTGGAGGTGAGTTTTAATGATTAGAGTTTCTGTTTTTCAACCCCATTCTCTGTTTTTGTGGTTTTCTTTGGTTCTCATGGAATTCTTCCATGTGTTTAGGCCACAATCTGTGTAGGGAGCACGTTTGTGGTTAAATCCGAGTGTGGGTCTTTAATCCAAGGTAAGGGGAGACTCTACCTTATCTTAATGTATTGAAATTCTTGTGTGTTTGATGGAAATTGATATGCAATGTGATGTGTGATAGAATAATTGGACCCCGTGAGGGTGATTGTGTGTGATGGAATACTATTGATTAGTGAATTAATGATATTGTTAATAAATGTGGGCCTAGTGCCTGTATTTGAGTGCCATGTGGGCTGTGTGCCGCGTGTAAGCATGACTATTGCATGCGTGAATGAAATATGTGTGAATGGGCGTGTTAGTGCCGTTATAATGTGCTGTGAATGGTTCAGCGATACACTGGGATGTGGGAGATGAGGACGATAGAAATACCTTGGGGAAGAGGGAGTGGTAGTGACATCGACTGCGGAACGTGTGCACCACAGGCCACACACTCTCTTCCTGACTAGACCTCTGACTACTATCTTTGCTGAGCAACCCCTGACTGCCCACGTGGTATCCGTGAGGCGGGAGTAACCAGCGACCATTCATAATAGAAATCTGTGATCACAGTGCCACAGTGAGTGTGGCTAGCGTGCATATGCATGGATTTATGTATTGTACTTATGAATGTGAAATGTTGCCGATGCTGTGAGTGCATCGGTGTTAAATTGACATGAGCTGTGTGATAATGCTGCTTGTGATTGTGTTTGTTTAATGTATTGGAAATGTTCTGGAAGTGAGACTCTACGTTGATTATGTGTTTTTAGGTAGTGTAGAGTACTCACCCTTACATTCATTTTTCAGGTAATCAAGACGATCAGCTCTGGACTCAGTGCAGGGATGGATAGACTGCTATAGGACTTAGCTTTTATTTTGAAATTGTTATAACTGAACTAGTCTTGTAGCAGTCATTTGATATTAATTTGTAACCCTTCCCTTGTTTCGAAGTATTTTATGAAAAATTGGTTATTCTAATTTGCAAAATTATTATTAAATTGAAATTAAAATTTAGGTATTACACGTGTCATTTACAACTAATTCTACTCTTTCCTATAACAATCGCTCCTTCCTGAAATGATCCTTGTACTTAAGGAATGAAATTTGGAAACCTTTATTTAAGATTTAAGAAAAACTCTCATGTAGCATCTTTAGGAAACTAGTGTTTCCACTTCCCTAACACCTTTGTCACAACACAATTTCTTCTTTTCACAATCATTCTATTAAGGATTTGTTCTAGTTCTTTCACTAAAGCCGCTTCACTAGTATTAGGACAATGTTTTGAAATAGGAATTGCACCTACATGTTTCTTGAGTTGTGCAAACATGGAAAATATGATGTAGTTGAGAACTTGCTAGCAACTTGATCTTGTAAGCTACATTTCTAATCTTGTCCAAAACCTGACATAGCTCATAGTATTTGGGAGCTAATTTGGCATTGCTCTTGTAAGCCACTGAAACCTGCATATATGAAAGCATTTTCACATAAACTATGTCTCCAATCTCAAACTTTCTATTTGACCTATGCTTGTTTGACAGCTGCTTCATGCATTCCTGAGCCCTTTTCATGTGAAATTTTATCAATTTCAATATTTCCTCTCTCTTTTAGAGACTTTTGTCAACAAGTTCAACTTTAGACTCTCCAAATAGATAAGGCAATAATTGTGGAGGAGGTTGGCCATATACAATTTCCTACGGGCTTGCTATAATAGTGCTGTAGTAACTCGTGTTATACCACCATTTAGCTAAAGGTAGTCATTTCAATCACTGATTAGGACACTTTCCACACATACATCTCAAATAAGTTTGAGACATCTATTAATCACCTTAGTTGGCCATCTGTCTGTGAGTAGTAGGCTATGGAGAGTTGAACTTAAACCATTTAGAAAGCTATAAATTCCCTCCAAAACATTGTCGAAGAAACATTGGGCCACTTCAGCAGCTGAGTAAGGATGACTAAGGGCCATAAAATGAGCTGCCTTGCTCAAACCATCCATTACTACAAAGATCACTTGCTTGCCACTTGAAGGAGGAAGACCTTCAATGAAGTCCATTGTAATCTGTTGCCACACATGGCCAAGGATAGGAAGAGGTTGCAATAGTCTTGGGTAAGCAGCATTATCATATTTGGATGCTTGACATGTATTGCTTTGTTGTACCTATAACATCACATCTTTGGGCATCCCTTTTCAATAAGCTACTAATTTAATCCTTTGAGGAGTAGAATCTCTTCCTAAATGACCTCCACAAGTTGAAGCATGCATTTAAGAGAAAATATCTTGTCTTAATCTCAGATCTTTGCCCACCACTAATCTGCCTTTTCTTCTTAATTTTCCTTTGAACCATCTGTAGTGCTTGTGAGAAGAAACATTATGCTGAAGGTCATTTATGATTTTCAACACATCCTGATCATTCGTCCAAGTTTTCTGAATTCTATTAAACATCTCAGAACTAGGTTGATGGGTAGTGATGGCCTTACATTCTATGAATTCCACTCTTGACAATGCATCTTGACAATGTATCTGCAGCTACATTTTCATGTCTTTGTTTATACTCAATTATGAAATCAAATTCTATCAGTTTGACTAACCATTTTTGTTGGAATATGGTGGATAACCTCTGATCCAGAATGTACTTCAGACTTCTATGATATGTTTTGATAACAAATTCTTTATTCAATAAGTAATGTCTCCACTTTTAGACTGCTAATACAATAGTCAATAACTCCTTCTAG